CTCTTACCAAGTGCTAGGGTGATGAGTTGTGGTTGAAAGAGGAAAATGAAAAGTGTGAAGAGATGGATCATAGTTATTCTGTCTTTGTTTTGCTGACTTTTCACATTTCTTGAAAACATCCTTATCCCATTGTGAATTGCAAATTTTCAACCAGTGGGTGGTACTGCCACATTGAAGACCCCGTGACAAGGATGGGAGAGTCTACCGTAATGAGTCAAACAATATATTTGTATGTGTCGATGTTTATCACATTACTCATGCTTTACAAAACTGGCATTATTATATTCATTCCTTTGGCATAGTACAGGGCAATGAACACATCTTTCAGAAGAATTTATGATGGATTTACATACTATTTCCTATTTTTCTTCAGGCTTCTCTTGAGAATTTGCTAGAAACATTAAGCTTCCAACAGTCATTATTGGATTCGCGACGCAGGGCCAATGGAACAGATCGGAGGAGAACAGTTAGTGAAGGCTGCTTGAAATACAAAGGTGAGTCAAGCAATACTTGGAGTGTGGTTGAAAGATAGTAAAATAGATAAAATAAGTGTGAAGATAGCCTGTGGATTTGTCTTGATCTGTCTCTCTGTTGTTTGTGTGTCTCTGTTTTAGTCGTTATCTTTGTATCGGTCTGTCTCTATCTCTCTGTTTTTACCTCTGGCTCTGTCTCTTTCTGTGCTTGCTTTTGTTTTTCTCTGTTTCTGTCTTTCTTTTTGTCTGTTTCTTTATTTCCCTTTCTATGTCTTTCTCTCTTTCTCTTTCTATGCCTCTCTCTCTTTCTCTCTCTCACACACCCCACACTTCAAAAAAGATATTTTGTGTTTTTTATTGCTTTTAGACTCTGAATAGCTTATCCAGGATTTTTATGTAAACTTTTACATGTCTCATTTTATACTTCAGAAAAAAAATTACAAGATGACATTTTCTTTGACAGGGATGTAAGTTTTCACTGGGGGAAAAGCCTCTTCTATGGAACAACTTTCTCTTTCGTCTCTTAGACATGCATGACTTACAAAGTCAACTGCATTCTCAACACAGGCAACTGCAAAGCCAGGAGCTGCAGCATGCGCAGGAACTCGGAACGCTTTGAGAGGGAAGCCGACCGTTTCTTGGAGGTCGAAGATATGTTGATGCCGCTGAGTGCTGAAGGAGGCTCTTTAGAAGACATCGCTGGCCTGCATGAGGTCAAGCAAATCCTACGGGAAGCAGTTGTGATGCCTATGCAGTATCCCCAATTGTTTCAAGGTATTATTACTATTACTGATATGCTTATTATTATTATTACTATTATTATTCTTATTTTTCATTATTTATATATATATTTTTTTTATTATGAAAGGGACACAAGAACTTCTTACTCATTCCTTACTTTTCCTTAGCCTTCTCTCAGTAGATGTGTAACACTTTCAAGGAAAAAATTCAGGTTATATTTTATTAAATGTAACCTCTTTCCGTAGATGGTGCGCAGCCATGGACACGTCTCCTGCTCTACGGTCCTCCAGGAACAGGGAAGACTGTTTTGGCTCGAGCACTTGCTTCTGAGCTACAATGTCCTTTCTACTGTGTTTCATCTGCCAATCTACTCTCCTCTTGGGTCGGAGAGTCAGAAAAGTAAGAAGAAAGGTTTATGGTCATCTTCATTGTCAGTGTTATCGTCATTACACCATCATCATTCTCATCGTTGTCATTACACCATCATCATCATTATCACTGTCATTGTCATTGTCATAGTCTTTGTCATTGTCATTGTCATCGTCATCGTCATCGTCATTGTCATTGTCATTGCACCAACATCATCATCATTCATTTTATCATTTCATCATCATCTTTATTGATATGAAGATTTGGTTTATCATTATCCTCATTATAACTGTCATTGTTATTGTCTTCATTACCACTATTATTATCATATTTTCTATGATGTAATATTGTAATGTTGCATGTTACAATCATAAGAAATGAATACTTAAAGAGGAAAAAATTACATCTTTTTTACTCTTGTTTGGATTTCTTAAAATGTAATTGATAATCTTCAGGGAACTATAGGCCTAACTTTGCTATCAGATAAGGGCTCATGCATAATCATTAACATAGTCAAAAACCTTTGAAAGTATACAAACCTACTCCATGTAGTATTTAATGCTTTTGAAAATGTAGATAATTATGAATGGGCTATGGATAATGTTCTTTATTGATGAATTTTTTCTGTTTCAGGCTTATAAGGGAATTATTCCATCAAGCACAAAGTCACTCGGGCCAGTGTGTTATTTTTATTGATGAAATTGACAGTTTGTGCAGGATCCGCTCACAGATGGAAGATGAACATTCACGCAGGTTTGTTTGTGTTTATAATATTTTTTTTACTGTTTTGTTTATGTATATTTAGGTAAAATGTAATACCAAGTGAAACAGATGACCACAAATATGAAAGAAATACTGTTTTGAAATTCACAACTTGTTATTTCTAAACTAGTGATTCCCATTTTGCTGGAACAGGGTGAAGACAGAGTTGCTGCAGCAGATGGAAGACATAAAGAGGAATGGGAGGTCGTCAGTGTTTGTGATGGGGGCCACCAACTGCCCTTGGGACCTTGATCCGGCCTTCCTCAGGAGGTTCCAGAGGCGGGTCTATGTTCCTCTCCCTGACAGGTAGGGTTAGTTATGTGTGTGAGTGTGTGTGTGTAATGACTGTGGCCCCCAGCTGACACCTCTAAAGATTTTTCAACTTCCCCAAGGGCAAATTATTTCATTGTACTTTATGGTTTTATGCATCTTATGGTGTTTTTCTACTTTATAAAGGTCTGTTAGCACTTTTGCCTCATTTATCTCTGAACATGTAGGTGTATGTGGGCAGGAATGGTCAGTCAAAGGAATAGGTATGATTTTCTATACCAGATGTGTTATTGGTGATTATATAAAATATATATACCAGGCACTGAAGAAATGAGGGAGACAGTAGGCTAAGCACAGCTGGTACGAGGTGGTCAGGATTAAATGGCCAGAAGCAAGTAGTCATTATATTGATAATTTATCAGATATATACTAGGGAAAAGACCAAATTAAGGATAAGTACCAAAACAGTAGGGTGGGCTGGAGGGGATGGGTGGTTTTGGATGGACAGCAGAGAGACAAGACAGGGAGATGGTGTGAAACAGGGCTTGTTACCTCTTATACTGAGTTTAGAGAGAGGTTTAGGATAAGGGAGCTCTAGAAATCAACTAAAACGAGGGGATTAAGTGATCTATGTTTGTCAAGGGGAGTGGTTGCTATGGCCTCTATGGGATTTTTAATTTGCCAAATCCTCATTAGATATTTTTGATGAAGCCAAAATAAAAAGACACCACTGATAATAATAATAATAATATAATATATATAATAATAAATATAATAAATATAATAAATATAATAATAATGATAATAATAATAATAATAATAACAGGCAAGCTAGCACTGACATTGCTGGTGAAATGTTTGCCTCTATTGTTCTATTGTTCAGTTATTTTCTTTTTTATTGAGAGATATATTTAGTAATTAGAGTTAGATCTATGTGCTGCACATGATTTAGAAGTCTTGTGATTAATGTATGTGGTTATTAAGTACAGCAGTATCTACAGTATTCTTTCTCTCTTTTTGATAGAGCTTAGGCAAAATTTTTAGGTTGAATTAATTATTATGTAGTTTATGATTATTTTGACTTGAAATTCTAAAACCATTAAACCATTTTGTCCCTACTTCTCTTCCTCTCTCTCTCCAACCCTCTTTATGCATTTGCAGAATAGTTTTTGTGTTTGTCTGTGAATCTTTCTCAGTGTGCCAATTTGTGGAGATATCTGTTGACTGATATTAAGGCTTGGATTTTCAATTTTCCAGAGAGAGTCGCCGAGCAATAATTTCCAGCCAGTTCAAGACGACTCCCTTAGAACTTACTGATCCAGAGTGGACAAATCTCCTGGACACCACGGAAGGGTTCTCGGGCGCTGATCTCACACACCTTGCAATGGCCGCTGCCTTCTTCCCCATCCGGGAACTGCAGACTTCTCGCTTCTGGAGGTTTACTCATGGTATGTCAGTCAATGTTGGTAATATACGTATGACTAGGTAATGTCTTGTTAGGTATAATGTAAATTATTGAAAAATAATACAGATATGAAGTATAGATATAAATAAGATTACTTACATCTTTAGGGATGAGACTGGACATGAACTGCAAAGAATAGTTTGCTGATCAGACAAAGCACCCAAGTTCTGATTCCACTGTATATCCCCATATTATAAGTATGGTTAGGCTGAGATATGTTTGTCCACTTTTTGTTAAGTAATAATTTTTGTTAAGCAATGATTTTTCTTTCTTTGTTCTTAGATAACAAAATCACCCCCTGTTCAAGTGACACTCTTGGGTCCATGCAGTATCCACTGAGTAAGCTTCCAGCAGACAAGGTAGTGTAGGATTTCTAAAGATTTCATCACTTCCATTTCTAATATTGTAAAATGTTGAGACAGTGAACTATTATTATGTCTATATAGCAGTCCACAGTGAACATATATATGTGATGTGAGGTGATGGTGAATATGTTATTGAAGAAATTCACAATCAAATGTCTGATGTTTCCTGGTAGTGATATTTTAATTTATATCAAAATTATAGCAAGCCTATTCAAAATACAGGTTTTATTTAGTTGTATGTCATACAGGATGTTTAATTGTAATTCACATTCATGTTCACAGGTTATAGCTCGTCAAGTAGAGCTGAAGGATTTCATCTCAGCCTTGCAAACGACACCGCGCACAGTCTCGCCAAAGGTTGTTCAACAGCATCACGAGTTCTCCATGGCCTCCAGCCATAGTTAGGGCTTTGTAGCTTCCCTGACATTGCTCCTCTCTCTTCTTTGATGTTTCTCTATAGTATATCAAAAATTTATGAATTTTCTTTTGAGAAGAAAATGAAGAATTACTCAATGTAATTACTAGTCATAACAGAAATAAAGGCAATCATTTTGA